TCCTTTAGATATTGTGGCGACTGCAGGAAGTCAGCCACTACTTGTGCGCAATGCTCACGGAGGAAGAGCTGCCCGGTTGTTTTCGCCCAAAGCATTTGCCTTGCTCGAAGAGCAGTGGCATTGGCATAGCGTTGCTTCTTCTCAGCATGGGCAGCCCTTTCTTTGGCCACGGCAGCCTCCAGCTCAGCCTGAGCTTTCTCTGCTCTTTCTCGAGATTTTTCTGCTTCTTCTCGAGCCTTTTCAGCCTCAGGTTGAGCCCTCTCCGCTTCTGCTCGAGCCTTTTCAGCCTCAGCTCGATCCTTTTCTTCTCCGACTCGAGCAGCCCGCTCTTGATCGAGCAACGCCTCCTTCTCCTTCAGCGCGGTTTCCTTTTCGACCATGGCTACCTCCTTTACCACGAGGGCAGCTTCTCTCTCCGCGAGAGCTTTATTCTTATTCGAGAGCTCTCCGTCAAGGGACTTGAGCTTGACCTCGAACTCAGTCTTTTGTTCGGTTTGCGTCTCGCGGAGCTTGGTATTGTGGTTAAGGAGGGTCAAATTCTTATCCTGCAAGTAGCCGATAGTTTCCTCAAGGCCCTTTATGGACTTCCCCGAGCTGTCTCGCGCCTCTTTAGCCAGCGGCAAAAACTCGACTAAGCCCTATATTTAAAAGGGTGAGATGGTTCAAAACATGTATAACGTTAGAAGAAGAGTTTGGAGGAAATCGGAGAAAAGCGTGTACCTGGGCGAGCCATCGGGCAAGCTTGTCACCAACTTCCGAGAGTGTGGCTCAACTCTTTTTACGGTCGTCCTCGAGGAGAGCACCCTCGAGGCGGTCGACCACTTCATTTGCAGAGGCCGACAATAGAGAGGTAGACCGTGAGGCTTGGCGGAAGATGGCTGTCACGCGCTCACTTCCAAACCACTTCGCCTTTGTCGGTGCGAGAGCGTTTCCCCAGAGTAGCTTCTCGTTCCCCACCGTCTTGATTACGGTACTCGACCATATCCTTGGTCGATCCCTCAAGGGAGGGAAGAAGACTGTTGATTGGAGGGAGGTTTTTCTTGGGTTTTGGCCTTGGACGACACATGGGACTCAGAAGATTTGTCTGCAGCTTTGGAAGAAGTGGTATCTTTTGGATTGGGAGCTCGATGGTCGATTTTTTGGCGGTTGTCAGAACGGTGGCGGTCGTCGGTTTTATGGTAATCGTCGGGTTTTTGGTGGCGGCCGTCAGTTTTTTGTTAGCGGTCAAGGTTTCTAGTTTGGCGATCATCAGGCTTGGATGTGCTCGAGGAATGGGTGCCGGCGGCAAAGGTAGAAGATGGTTGTGATGTTTGGCCAGGAGGAGGCGGAGGGGTTTGACGCGGTTGCTGTTGTTGTTGTTGCTGCTGCTGTTGCCGGGGTGGAGGCTGTGGCTGCTGTTGTTGTTGTTGTTGCCGCGGTTGTTGCGACTGTTGTTGTTGTTGCTGCTGTGTTTCCTTTGACAGTGGTGGAGGAGGTGGCGGAGTCTTCCGCGGGGGCGATCGCTGCTGCGGCTCCGGTCGAGATCCACCAGAACTGGCCGACCCGTCGGTCTTATCGCTGGTCGATCCATCAACAGTCCCCGATTTTTTCTTCAAAGGGACTTTCCTCAGAGGGATGTTAAAATTAGGAGCCTCTGCACATGTACAATAAGGAGATCAAGATAAATGTCAGTCTTTTACTTCGACAGAAATAAGAACACATACGCAAACACTCGAGCAAATGGGTCGAGAATTACCTGGATCATTTTCAATACGAACAAGATTGAGAATCTTTTCAGTAGGAGGAGAAAGAGTTTTATGGGTGAGAAGACCACAAAAGTAGAGAAGATTTTCATCACCAAGGAGTTTTTAAGACTCAACGGACTTGGCATTCCAAGTGTGAATCCGTTGGTCGAAGAGATGGTTCGAAGGAGGGGCCGAGGCTGCCTCTCGCGAGATTCCTTAACCCAAGGAATGGAAGGCCAGGGGAAAGGGGCGTCAGGTCGAACATAAATGAATTTATCACTCCACTTGGGGAGGTTGGAAGGGATGTCGTTGATGAAATGGGCACCATTACGGCTTTTCAAGTAAAGGCCTCGACTTTGCTTCGAAGGGCCGTAGCAATAGTGGAAGAAATCCAGATCGAATCGACCCAAACGGACATGGCAGAGAATAATGAAAATGTTCATGAAACGGATAGCATTAGGGGGAAGTTGATGTAGAGGGAGCGAGAACCACTCGCAAATGCGAAGCAGCTCAGGACTTAGGGGAAAGCGGAGACCGAGTTTGAACTGAATCTCGAAAAAAGTATAACAATTCCGCGGAGGATGATCGTATTTGTCAGAGGAAGAAGACCGAAGGAACGCCCAACCAAGAGGTTAGCCGATTTTTTCAGGGTTGAACCAAGGGTGAGAGAGAGAAGTAGAAGATGGACGCTTGGAAAGTTTCTTAGTCGAGGATCTTTTAGGAGGAGAGTTTGAAGGTTCAGGGGCAGAGGAAGAAGGCGGAATGGTTGAAGATGCGGGAGCAGTGGGTTGTGTAGAAAGGACCTCGTCTTCTTCTGGCTCGTCTAACGCGCCTAGAGCAGGTCGACGGCGGCGGAGGGGGATATTATCCATGGTATCCCCAGAGTTGGGAGATGCAACACGAGCTGTGAAAATACGGGTAGGAATCGTGTCGCCGGGGCGAAGGATAGAGAGAGGGGAAACGTCGAGCGCAGAGGGCAGTATTTCAACTGAATCAGAGGAGGTCTCAGAGTCTGAAAAATAAAAACAAAAAGAACAATATCAAAAAGAACCCGTCGCAAAGAAGAAAAGGGGGAGAAGGAAGATTAGGGTTTTCGGAATGAACAATCCCAAAACCAGAAGAGGAATTTGAGAGGCGCGAAGATGGAAATTTCAGAAATTTTCAGAGGAAAAGCAAAATTCACAAAACCCAATAGATAAATAAAAGTATTAGAGCACAAAGTCAATACAAGACACGCCAATTCAAAACGATCAACAGACCAATCGAGGATACCCGATACTGAAAATCCAAGAATACACAAAATAGAACCACTGCAAATTCAAATTCAAGGGCAGCAGGACTTACTCATAACCGTGGATCAACAGGTAACGGAAGTTCGAAAGGATGCAGAAGGAATTGCCGAGAAAGTGAGGGTTTTTTGCAGAAAGAATTTTGGGTGCAGAGGAATTTGAAAGTGGCGAAGGTGAAAAAAGTCTGAAAATCCGCTAAGTGTGGAACTTATACCTTGGAGAATTCAAGGGTTGAAAAGGTGTGAACCGCCGGATTAAAGTTAGATCGGATGGTGGACAACATTGATTAGCACGACACTCAAAGCGGGCGCGTTATGCGAGGAGGCGTCATCATTAAAACACCAGACAAACACCTGAAAAGCAGGACACGTGGCGAAAAAGCGGGCGCGACAGAAAGGACTTGAAACAGGCGACTTTATTTCTAGCAACTAATGGGAAATTATTTGAAAACATGAGCGGGAAACTTATCGGCTGGTCGATATCTGACGACGAGCCATCCAGGAGGTCGATAAATACAAATTCACTCTTAGATCGAGTCATTTAGACTCGACCAGAGTGGGGGGACTAAATGATATAGGATATTATATACTCCAAGATAAACCAGTCCGCCGAACCAGTTTAGAGGGTCATACCATGAAGGAATTGAGCCAGGTGAGGAGAAGATCGAGCAAAATAACTTGTCGACCAGTCAAACAGTCGACCAATCCATCGCTCGACCAAACAAACGATCGAGCAATCTTATCGACCTTAGCAGGTCGAGCATCTCGCGGACTCAACACTCAACAGATCGGCCTAGTCACAGGCGCGTGTAAGAGCTTCCAACTAAATTCCAGGAGAATATTTACCCCATGTGCAGGAGGACACGTGTCGAGAATGTATTGGGTGATAGCGATAACCACCTCTGACAGCTCCCAACACCCTGCGCCACCTCTGACATGCGCGCGGTGTGCCAGAGTATGGACGGGCAACTTGGGCAGCTAGCTCATCCTTATCCGGGCAGCTATTAGGGCAGGTATCTCACCCCTATATAAAGGGTATGAGCCTTTTGCCCTTAACACATTCTATTCATTCTTCACTTCAGTATACTCATACACATACTGACTTAAGCATCGGAGGCTATTCACCAGACACAACCCCCGGTGTGAGAGTTACTTGCAGGTTTCCGGCATTCTACCGGCGAGGACAAAAATCGATCTGTTCCAAACCGGACCAGGACGCTCACACTTGCATTAAATAAGCATTTAAAAAAATTAGGCATTTAATGGCAATAATAATAATAATAATAATAATAATAATAATAATAATAATAATAATAATAATAATAATAATAATAATAATAATAATAATAATAATAATAAGGTGTTCGACAAAATGACACAAAGAACCCCGACTCACTAAAGAAGTTCTCGGCTCTATTTTCCGACAACCGCAAGCCTTCGCTTCGCCGGACAATGGAGTGGACCTTGATGATGATGACCTATTGGATGTGACGAGTACTTGGTGCTTTTGCCTTGTCGGATACTTCACTCAAAGGCACCCGGGCAAGGAGGCATTGTTTAATCTTTGCAACTCATGGGATGTCCAATATGAATACGTCCCTAATGTCAATGGATGGATCGTCTTCAAGTTAAAAAACGAAGAAGATAGAGAAAAGGTACTCCAAGGGGGCCCCTACTCTATTTACGGCCGAGGGCTCATCCTCAAAGTGCTCCCCAATTGGTTCCAATTTGGTGAAGATGACATCAAAACCGTCCCCGTTTGGATCAATCTCCCCTTCCTCTCATGGGAATGTTGGAGCAGCAAGGCCCTAAGCAAGATAGCCTCTTCCGTAGGTCGGCCCATCACTACCGACAAACTCACGGCTACAAGGGACCGATGCAACTATGCTCGGATTTTGGTGGAGCTAGACCTCTCCAAGGAAAGAGTACATAGCATACCCGTTAAATCCAAGGGGAAATTTATGTTCGAGCAAAAGGTAGAATATGAGTATGTCCCGAACTATTGCAATCACTGCAAATTCATTGGACACTCTACCTCCAATTGTGGGAAATACAAATCCCACCTCGAGGAAAAGGCCAAAGGCAAGAAACCTGCCGGACAAGACGGGACCATGGGGACCACCGTTCGAACACCAAACAAAAGAAAAAGAGCACAAAAGTAAGAAGGGGGTAGACATCAATAAAGAGCAAGTAGAGAACCATGAGCCTAAAAAAATGTGGGTGGTGGAGAAACAACAAAAGAAAGGAGATGAATTAGAGGGAAATGGGGATTGTGAAAAGGGCAAAGAGACGGAGGCCACTATGAATGCCGACTCACCCTCCTCTCCATCCGGGGACTCAGAACACCAAATCCTTGAGCCCCTCCAGATAACGATGATGACTCCTTCCAAGTGGTAGGAAAGTATAACAAAATTCTCACTAGAAGTGGAGCCGCGAGTCAAGCTGCCGCAACTTCGGGTCAACACTCCAAGCTTAGAGACAAACCAAGCGAGAGGAAATATGGGGGAAGAGAATACCCGGGGAAGAAGGGGGGTCACCCTTCCTCTTCCTAATGATTATTTCCTCTTGGAACATTAGGGGCTTTAATTGGCCCCTGAAACAAGATGAGGTAGTAAACCTCATCCAGAGAAATAACATTGATGTCCTTGGACTTTTGGAAACGAAACCGACACTAGGCGGCTATCTCTCTTTATGGATAGAAGGTTGTCGGGTTGGGCTTTTTGCGAGAATTTTGACGTTGTTGACTGTGGGCGCATTGCCATCCTATGGAACCCCATGAAGGTTGACATCACGATGGAGGCCGCCTTGCCTCAAGTCATTTTTGCAAACATCCGGTGTAAGGTTAGCAACCACTCGTTCATAGCTAGCTTTATATATAGACTACATACGAGAGGAGACCAAAAATTGTTGTGGAACGACCTTAGGGTCTTTCGGGGAAGGATATTCTTACCTTGGCTACTCCTCAGGGACTTTAATGCTATACTCAAACCAGAAGAGAGAATTAAGGGGGAGAGGGTCACTAACCGAGACACCATGGACCTCTTGGAAGTTTGTGATGACTTGGGATTATCGAACATCTCCTCAAGCGGCTTCTTCCACACTTGGACCAACAACCACTTTTGGTCGAAACTTGATAGGGAAATGGTAGATACCCAATGGGAGAATGCCGACCTTTTCTCGCATGCGACCTTTCTAGCTCCGGGTATTTCAGACCACTCCCCTTGCGTAGTTACTATATTTGAGGCGAGGACCACTACCGGGTCACCGTGGCGGTTCTTTAATATGTGGACGGCCCATGAAAAGTTTTTGCCGTGTGTCCAAAACACGTGGAACCATGGCGGTGGGGGCTCGAGGAAATTACGCCTTGCTAACAATTTGAAGAACCTCAAGAACTCGCTTAAGGATCTTAATTAGGAGGCATTCTCACATATCTCCTCTCGGGCTAAAGAAGCGAAGAAAGCTCTAAAGAATGCTCAACAAATGCTCCATGATCAACCCGACGACCCCGATCTAAGGCCAAAATGCCTTCGCTTTGACTCGAAGCTCTTAAATTGGCCAAAGCGGAGAGGCACTACTATCAACAAAAGGCTAAATAGAAATTTCAAATCAAGGGTGACAAATGCACCAAGTTCTATCATGGCATGATCAAAAAGCGAACAAATGCACCGTCACTGACTCCATGAGGGAGTTGCTAAAGAGTTTGTCCACTACTACGAGGCTCTCTTGGGTACCAGAGTTGAAACGGAGGATGTTGATCCATAAATCCTTCGATTGGGACCGTGTGTTGGAGTTGATGATTGTAGTGCTCTCATAGCCCCGATCACCGTGGACGAGATAAAGAATACACTTAGGGACATCGAGGGGGATAAGTCCCCGGGTCTGGATGGTTATACCTCCACTTTCTTTTTGAAGAGTTGGTCCATCATTGGGGTTGATGTGGTGGCGGCCATCCAAGAGTTCTTCCGCTCCGGCTCACTCCTCAAACAATGGAACCATACGGCCCTAACGCTTGTTCCGAAGTCCTCCCACTCCTCACAAGTCACGGACTTTCGGCCAATTGTGTGTTGCAACACGGTTTACAAGATTTGTTCCAAAATCCTTGCTAAGCGAGTTAGCGAAGTCCTTGACTCTATCATTGATGAGGCCCAAGCCGCTTTCGTGAAAGGGAGGATCATTACCGATAACATTCACCTAATGCAACAACTACTCCAACTCTACTCGAAGAAACGGGTCTCCCCTAGGTGTATTATCAAAATAGACCTACGTAAAGCTTTCGAATCCATCTCATGGTCCTTCTTGAAACAAGTGCTTGATGGTCTTGGCTTTCCATCGGTCTTTACTAGATGGGTCATGGAGTGCGTCACCACTCTGTCCTATTCTATATCTATCAGCGGGAGCCTCAAGGGCCACTACAAAGGCAGTCGCGGTCTACGGCAAGGTGACCCCTATCACCTTTCCTTTTCGTGATTTGTATGGAATATCTCTCTCGGCTTATCAAGTGCAACACGGCGGTCGACACGAACTTCAATACCATCCGATGTGCGAGCAATTAAGAAATCGCGCACCTTGCCTTCGCCGACGACCTCATGTTTCTATCTCGTGGAGACCCCCCGTCAATTCAAGTCCTCATGGATTGCCTCAAGGATTTCGGAGCTAAGTCGGGGCTTGAGATGAATATACTAAAGTCCAATATTTACCTGGCCGGTGTCAAGGATGATAGTCGGGCTACAATCCTTGACAACACCAACTCACGGTGCGACTCTATGCCCTTTCGGTACCTCGGTGTCCCCCTCACCATGGACTGCATCAGAGCTAGGCTCTTTGATGATACGATTGAGCAAATTGAAGGGAAACTTAGTCGGTGTAATGGACATACACTCTCCTATGCCAGAAGATTGGAACTCCTTCGATCGGTGAACCAAGGAATTGTGTGCTTTTGAATGGGGATCTTCCACTTGCCCGGCATAATTAGAACCAAAATCACCCAACTATGTAGAAGGTTCCTTTGGGGATCGAAAAACACTCCCGTGGCTTGGGATAGCCTTTGTCTTCCGCGCTTGGAAGGTGGATTGGGGCTTAGGGACTTGAACACGTGGAACCAAGCGTTGCTCACCCGGACGCTTTGGAATATGCAAGCAAAGAAGGACACATTGTGGCAAAAATGGATTTACAACATTTACTTGAAGGGGAACTCCATTTGGGATTGGAAAGTTAGACCGACGGACTCGCCTCTCTTCAAGTCCCTTTTTGAAATTCGACAAGGCTTAGTTGAAAGAGCGGGAAGTGCACGAGAAGCGGAAGGCCTCCTTCGAGGTTGGAATTCCTGAGATAGACAAGATGGGGCTAGTAAATGCTACGACTACCTTTGTCTTCGAGGAACCATGAGGCCTTGGAGTGGAGTGGAGTGGAATTCCTTCATTCTATGGCTTGGAACCCTTAATCGGCTTCGGACAAAAGACCGTCTTGAATTCCTTAACGAAGACCCGATGTGCCTTCTATGTGGAGTCGCGAATGAATCCTCGAGTCGCATATTCTTTGAATGTTCTTTTAGCTTGGAGATTTGGGATGAAATTTGTACTTGGGTTAGCCTTCGCCATAGACCATCGACCCTTAAAGGCGCTCTCAAATGGACTAAGAAGGAGGCGAGAGGGTCTAGTTGGAGATCCAAATTGAAAAAAGCGGCACTTGCGGCCACCGTCTACTTCATTTGGAATGCGAGGAATAGGTTGGTCTTTGAAAATGAATACTAACCCCCACGCCTTGTGATACGGAAGGTAAAAACCCATGTCTATCGCACTATTATTTGCTCTCTACCCTAATGTGCTTACCGAATTTGAGAGACGAAACCTTAGTCATTGATGTTTTTAAATTAAGAGTTGAGGTTGAAGGGTGGCTGAGCACCCGGGAGAATGTATGCAATAGGAGGAAAATCAGAAATTCTTTGGGCGTCCCAGGCACTAGCGTCGTTATGCCCTTAGCGCCACTAAGGGACAGCTGCTATGTAACGCCCCGAATTTTATTAATAAAGGAGAATACTAGCTTTCCAATATAAGCTAGCCTTTGTTAATAAATATTCATGTTAATGTTCAAGTGTAAGTTATTCAGCTAATTAAGTTCCAAGTTCGACGTTAAGTCGAAAGTATATCCGGTTAATTTTAATTATTAACCGCGTCAATGATAGTAATTAATCTCCGTATTTAATAAAGGGACATTAGCAAGTTATTCCAATGTTGACGTATTAATCGAATTGAGAATATTCGATTAGTCGTCAAAATTGAGTTCAAGCCAATTACTAAGTTTCAGTTAAAGTTCGACTTATAGTCGATAAAATATTCGGTTTAATTATTTCAATAACCGAATAAGTCTTCAAATTTAATTCCAATCCGTTTATATAATAAATGAGTTTGGAATTAATAACGTTAAGTCGAGGTAATTTTTGAATTAATTTTTGAAGTTTCGACCGAAATTATTTAAAGTTCGGTTAAGATTAATACTTGGAAATAATTCTAAGTATGGAAATTCATGTGCTAAGTATCTAATTCATGTTAATTGCACGCTAAGACCAAGTTACCAAAAGTCATGAAATGTTAGTTCATGTTTTGACTACTCATCATTACTAGCACACATGGCACCATGATAGCTTATGAAGTTGGTGACTAAGCTAAGGAAATTGCCAAGAACTGTAACCTCTATTTTATCCTTCCATTCACTTATTTATATGGTAAGTTGCTGAGGAGTTTTATTCCATTTTAACCAAGCTTAAGTCAAAAAATTAAATATATTAACCAAGCTTAGAGTAATTGCCGAGAGAGCCACACATGCGCAAGCATTCAAGTCTACAAGCAAGGTCACGCCAATCTCGTTGATTTCGTCGAGCAATCAGAAGGGTATAATCCTTATGACTCCCTTTTCATGTCTATTTAATCGTTTTAAGCTCATATTATACGTCTAAGTTCATGAATATTATCATGTTACCTTCGGCCGTGTCATTTGAACCTTCCGAACCATCTTTAGTTCTATCCGACGATTCTCGAGCTATTTATGTAAATTTAGTCTTTAAATGTCATATTATGATCAATGAAATGTCAATTGTCGGAAAAGTTATCGGATGGCCGTGAGGATCGATCGATGATGTAGGTTGCGCCTATAGCACATCCTATAGGCGATTTTAAGTGTTAACCGGGTCATTTAAGCTATGTTCATAATCTCTCGACCAATATGTGTATTTTTGAGTCCCTTATGATATTTGATGTTCAACCATGTATTGATGTTCGGAAGTAATCACTGGACGGTCAGCAAGGGTCGGCCGTAGTTGCTAGGACCGCAAGTAGCGGCCACAGCACACCGACAGTCAAGTAAGGTTTACGGACGGCTTATGTAAGCCTAGGCGTTTGTCACACATGGTCGTGGGCAGCCCCCAATCATGTACCGTCAGTGAAAAAGCACACTTGGTAGCAAACGGTTGTCTGCGAACGTTCAGCACAAGCCAGCGTCTAGCTGCCTTGTGGTTCATGCGACTTTCGATGATGCTTAGCGCACATTGGCAAGTCTCAGAGTAGGTCAGCATGCCGATTGTATTGCTAGTAAGTATAGTCGGCCTCAGCCAGTGCCCCACAGCACGCCCGAGCGCCGTGTATCGTCAGGGTCGCCGGCAACGCCTGAACAGTACCAGTTAGTACCAGTCCACACGTCCATGTGCCCAGTTGCCTGTTGTGGCGCTCGATAGCGCCCGGCAGTGCTCAGTCGCATAAGTGCTGGCACCCGCAGTGTCCGGCAGCGCCAATCGCCAAGCCACGAGTCCAGTCGACCGTCGATCGTGCCCATTGCACTCGATGGCCATTCCATGAGCACCGGTTACGTCAGTCGCATGCCAGTGCTCGAGGTTATGTCCAGCCGGCCTAGGTTGACATCTGTTGTGGCCAACAAGGTTCAGTCCACGCCGGCTGTGTCCAGTCGCACGCCAGCGTGCGCGAACGCCCATACCCATGCCAGTTACAGCCAGTAAGACCCGGCTGTGCTTAAGCCGAGCCCAGTCCATGCCAGCGACCGCGCTCGGGCATCAGCAGGCCCTGCGCGGGACCGAGCCGGTTGGCCAAGCTAGCGGCCGACCTCCCGAACACAGCAGGTCGGCAGTCCGCCCAGCCAGTGAACCGGCCGGTTCAGACCGGTTATTTCTATGTCTAATATTATTTTGGGTCCGGTCCAAGTTATGTTACATATTCCAGTCAAGTTCCAGGTCCAATCAGTCAGTTCAATAATTTCAGTTATCAGTTCAGTCAGTCCAGTAATTCCACTTAAGTTTAGTTTCAAGTCAGTCTATGTTGAGCCTAGTTCATGTCAATAAGACCAGTTAAGTCATGTCAGTTCAGTTAAGCATCTTAACAACTGTTTTTAATTAGTTTGAGCATAGTACTTAGTATTTGTTTACATATATGTTTCAGTTTGAACAGTTCACGGCTATCAGCACTTACGATTCATATCAACAGTTCAGGTGGGAACTCAGATTGGGTATTACATTGACTATAATTATGGTACCATGTTTGAGGTATGTATCACGTTATGTTATGTATCGCTTGGAATGGTCGCCGGTCCATTCTGAGTTCTACTGGACTAGTCTATCCTCTAGAGTTTACACATGGTGTCCGGCATTTTAATGCTGTCAGATGAGGTAACGACTATGAGGTAACGGTTATGTGATGGTAATGGTTTACAGGTACAAGTTGATGGTTATGTATGTATCAGGATCATGATATTGTTATTACTTTCACTGTCTACTTTAGTATGAGTTTCTGCAGAGCACAGTGGCTTTTAGTGCTCACGCCCCACGATGCTTATGTTTTTCAGGTTACAGAGTCGGGCTAGAGGAGTGAGCTGGTTGGTGGACCGTGGTCACGGCTATGGCTACCAGCCATTATGTAATAACCCAACTTCTTGTTAATATAAATGATGTATTATCCTTTATTAATTCCGTTCATTTTCAGCAATTACGTTTGACATTAAGTCGAAAGGTTTATCCGGTTAATTATTAACCGAGTCAAATTCGATAATTAATTTCCGAACCATTTATTTTATAAACGGACATTATTAATCGGGATTAATTATTGAAAGTTAAGAATGTTCGGAAATTAGGTTCGAAGGTTAAAACAAGTTAAGTCACGAATGTACACAAGGTACATTATCTACGCCCACGGGCTCACACGCCGTGCATGGCTGTGCGTGCATGTAAACACGCGACCGTGCACGCGACCGTGCATAGTGCACGTTACCGCGCATACGCACGGTTAAGCCCCTTAAGCGCACGTTTCTGCAATGCCTAGCACAATGATCATGTTAAGTAATTATGTTCCAACTTCTAAGTAAGTGCCGTGAGGAAATTTCAAAGGAGAGAGTTTGGATGCAAGTGGTAACCATGAGTCACCTACTTGCTTGATACACATGGCACCATGCAAGCACACGGGCGATGACTAAGCCCGTGCATGCGTGCCACCTCGACAATGACTAAGCCAAAGGTATCCCACCTCAGCACACGTGTTTGACCCTTGTTGTCAAGAGAAGAAGGCGTCATACTTCACCTCTTTTGACTCAACTTAACCTCACGGTTTTCATCACTAATAAATAACCGAGCATGGACGTCTTCTCCATGCATTTTCATTCACTAAATTCGACCAACTTCAGCATATATATTGAGAGAGAAATCAGTAAGGAAAAATAAGGGAAAAATCACATAAAAATAGCTAAGCATTGCGGAAGCAAAGAGCAAGCACTCGGACACCAAAGTCAAGCACGAACAGGCACGCACATCTCCATGCAATCTTTGACCGAACTGAAGGGTATACTTTCCCTTACCCTCTTTTTATGTAGTTAAGCTCATGTTAATGAAGTCATGTCGAAATCATGTTGTTCGGTCTATGTTTTGATGCAAAACGGCCTCGGAGATGCTATATAAGTTCTCTCCGAGTAATTTTAAAATAGAACCGGCAAGTCCCGAGTAATCTATGTATTTTCTGCCATTTTAAGTCAAAACATAATCAATTATGTGTGGATTTTTGGAAAAAGTAGCCGGACGGCCGGCGAAATGCCGACCATGATGCCTACCACGCATGGCGTGCGCGCAGGCGCACCCGATAGGCCCAGCGAGTACGCAGGCAGCGTCCGCGCGCCCAGTAACGCGCACGCGTGCCTAGTACTCGGCAGTCAAGTGTCGCGATGCCGCAGTTATGCGTGTGGACGTGCGCAGTGCACGCCAACGCGCACGACAGCGCACATCTCCGTTCACCTGCGTACACCGCAATGCGTCACACGCCCAACAGCGTCTCCCGCGAAGCACGTACGCACGCTGGCCAGTCACCACGCACGCCAGCACGCCCAGCAGCGTGCCAACGATGCACAGTAGGCCTCGGCGTTGCCCGGCAGCACGCCCGAGCGCCCAACCAGTCCAGCA